GTTGGAACTGCTGTCTCCCCTCATTACAAGTTTTAAACTATACTGTTTTGCTGTTGTTCTTGGGCTGAACCTGACAACTGTAAATCCCAATAATGCTACACATCAGGAATATTCACTCCCAGAAGTATCACTCATGATGGGTAAATCATCAAAGAGGGGTCAGGCTAAATACAATTGACTGGACAGGAAATAACCCATTCCAATATTCTCCCAAGAAAACCAAATGGACATTTACAATCAGGACAATAATATCAACATGATATTGGAAAATGAGCCCAGAGATCAGAAGGTATTAATGTGCTGGTGCTTATAATATAGCTGGATTAAACCTAAAAGGATTTCAGTTTCTGATGTGACTAGAGCCAATGTTGCAAATATATCTATACTATTGGCATATGGAATGGCAGAACCATGAACCAAAGCAAACTTGATGTTGTCAAGAACAGAAATGTCAAGAATGAATGCTGATATTCTGGGAATCAGCCAACTGAAATAGAGTAGAATGAGATTTTCTACTCCAGACAAGAAAATCATAGAAAGAAGAGTAATCATCATTAATAAAAGGGTGTCAAAGTCAGTGCTTGGATACAACCCCCCCAAATGTCAGAACTCTACAGGTAGAAGTGAAGTAGCATCTAACATAACAGAATTTTTTCACCTTGGTATGTGAAATGAAATAGAAAAGAGACTAATGGAAAAAGAAAATATAAAGAAGAGATGGTGCAAATAGACAGAAAAACTACTAAATGATCCCAAAACTGATGATACGCACAATTTTTGATTGCTGAACTAAAGCCAAACATTCTTGATAGTAAAGTGAAATAGCTACTGGAAAATATTGCTAACAACAAAGCTTCATTACTTCAATGAAATATGAGCTGAACTGTTTAATTACATCAACTTGTAATATTTTAAAGAGCTACTTGTGGTTTGTAAGCATGTTTGGAAAACACAGCAATAGCCAAGGGACTGGAAAAGATATGTTTATATTCCAATTTCAAAAATGGGGAGTGATAAGAATGTTGAAACTATGAACAATTGTGCTTATCTCATATGCTAGTATGATAATGCTCAAAACTTTGAAGTCAAGTCTTCAACAAAACATGACACAAGCTGGACTTACAAACTGGATTCAGAAGAGGCAAAGAAATCCAAGATCACATTGCTAACATCTGATGGATAATGAAAAGGGCAAGGGAGTTCCAAACCAACACTGTTTTTTGCTTTATTTATTATACTAAGGCTTTTGACTGTGCAGATCACAACAAACTGTCATTAGCCTTTTAAAACATGGGGCCTACTGAAGAATTTGTATGATGATCAGGAAGCAATAATTACAACAAAACATGCAGCAATTAAATAATTTAAAACAAGAAAAGTGGTATGTATTTAATTCCATTTGTTGACTGTATTATGAGAATTTATGAATTAAATAGATTGAAATTAAAACTGCTGGGACAAACATCAATAAACTGAGATATTTTAATGATACAGCTTTGATGGCTACAGGTAAGGAAGACATAAGAAATCTCCTATCAAAGGCTAAAGAAAAAATATTAAAACTCCCCCCCCCCCCAATTTATTCTGGTGGGGGGGAAGATAAAAAATTTTAA